CCGGGACGGACCGGCGGGCCCTGGTCCCCTCCGCCGGCCGTCCTCACCCCACTGCCGCTTCGTGCCCCCAGGCCTGAGGTCTGATTCTGCGCCCAGCGCCATGCCGAGGGAAAAGAAGGAGAGGTGAGTGGCCTGGCCGCTGCGGGGAAGGGGAAGGTGTGCAATGGTGGGGGAGGGGTGGGCCGAGATTTGGGGAGAACTCTTACCTCTGTGCCATCCTGGCTTTTCAGGGATGGGAAGGAACCCGGCACCATGAAAGAGGAAAGCGGCACCGATGTCTCTGTTCGCTCCAGGAAAAGGAAGGCAAATGTGGCCGTTGTGAGTACAAAGGAGACAGGTGGGGGAGGATTACCCCCCACCCCCCATCTTACCTGGGTACCAGGCTGGGTTCTGACCACATATTTATTGATAGGGGGTCAAGGGGGGTGCATTTGGCAGAAATGGTGCTCATAACCTTACCAGCTTTCTTTTTCCTCTCTCTGTCTGTGGTTTTGTCTTTGGGCTGTTTGGTGTGTTTCCTTGGGGTGTGGGTTGTTTTATGTTAGTTTTTGCAGGATCCAGATGAAGAAGTTGCCAAAATTGACAGGACCGTGAGACACCAGTGTGGCAGTCAGGTAGGTGCATTTTCTGATTAGGTCTAAGTTGAGGGTCTCCTTTTTTGGGGTCACATTAAGTCTCATATTTCCTTGCCTTCTGCTGAAGGCTTTTTCTCTAACTGTGGCCACGGTCCATACAACTGAGTGCTGTGCCTGTCAGTGGGCACTGACCTCTGCCAGCCTTGAGATTCCAGGAAGGTCTGTGTTCCTGACTGACATCCCTGAGATGACAAATATGCGCTGATGTCTGGAAGAACCAGAATGAACCTCACATAACTCAGTCCTCTCCTTTTGCCCTTGAGGAAACTGAGACTCAGTTAGAGGAAGAAAGTAACCCAGAGTCCTGTGCAAGCCAGGGGCGGAGTCTGTCCTACAGCCTCTCTGTGGGCTGGTGAACTGCGGGGAGGGCTCCTGAGACAGAGCTCTTTGGGTAACTGTGAGGATGGGGGTTTGTGTGTACACACATAATCACACATCCACACTCGTGTTTCTTCGTCATTGTGCTTAAGGACTTCCCGTTCCTGCTCCCACCCCCTTTAGGTCATGTTTCAAACTTTTTCCCCCTTTCTGAAAGTTCTTCTAGCCCATCCAGCAATTACCTACAGTGGTCACTGTCACCTGGAGCTTGATCTGGCTTCCACCAGAGTATTAGTAGGACATTCTGTGTAATGATATGTGCATCTCAACACATTTTTAAAATTGACTAGTCCATTTCTCTTGCCCCTCCTTCATGGAGTTCCCGCCATATTTCTTACATGCTCATGGTATCATCATAATATCAGAAGTTCCTAGCAGAAAAAGCTTGTATTATCTCTCTACCTCCAGAAATGGCTGGAGACTGTAGTTATGGCTCTAGTAGGGGAAGCAGCCTATCTCCAAACTAGCTGATTAGGCTTTCTGACGCTATAGCAGATAAAAGCTGAGCAGGAATAGTATTTGAGCTGAGGATACTGGTCCTGATTAGGTTAGCAGTGGAAGCACATCACTTTGTAGGGCAGTGAGCAACAGCCATAGCAGCTGGGTTTGGAAGAGTGAAGGGCTTCAAAGTCGAGGGCCACATTATTTGTAAAAAGTTGTTACTGCACATAAGACCCTAGTAATTAGTATTTCTGGGGAGGTTCCACTGAATATTGAACAATGGCTTGATGATTTCCTTGCTGTATTAGAAGGAGAAATACTTCACTTTAGGAAAGGAAATAAGACAGTGCATTCCAAGTTCTTTCCTTTTTTTCCTTTTTTCTCCCTGTAAAAACTGCAAACCAAGCAAGTTAATTTTTGTGGATTTCTACTAAAGTGGACCTCTACTTTGTGAAATTCAAGATTGGTTATTTTCCCGCCTGTGTTTTGAATTGAAGTTTTTTAAAAAATATATTTATTTATTTATTTATTTATTTATGGCTGTGTTGGGTCTTCGTTTCTGTGCGAGGGCTTTCTCTAGTTGCAGCAAGCGGGGGCCACTCTTCATCTCGGTGCGCGGGCCTCTCACTATCGCGGCCTCTCTTGTTGTGGAGCACAGGTTCCAGACGTGCAGGCTCAGTAGTTGTGGCTCACGGGCCTAGTTGCTCCGCGGCATGTGGGATCTTCCCAGATCAGGGCTCGAACCCGTGTCCCCTGCATTGGCAGGCAGATTCTCAACCACTGCGCCACCAGGGAAGCCCAGAATTGAAGTTTTTAACTTAGGAGGAAGCAAAGCTGTCCCTGTTGACTTCTTGGAGTTTTACAGTAGTTTCTGTTCTCAAAGTTAACCTGAGCTGTGCCTAGGGTGCCTAAGATAGGGCTTTGGTCCTATCCTTGGACTGCAGAGAGTTGATAGATGTGATAACATGAATAGCCATATTATTTCCCACTAGAAGGCATTTTCATGGTTTTTCAGAGATTAATGACAACAGGTTTCTACACATTTTGCAAAGTAGATAGCTTGAAAATTACCCATCATTTATGGAGCAATCAATGTCTTATGTTATTTCTCTGTGTAGATTCATGAAACTAGAATTTTGGGGTCACAGCCTTTTTGACAATTAATTACACAGAATTTTTCTTTGGAGTTACCATAGTTCAGCCTTGTTCAGCAGCTCTGAGCTACCTGTAGCCCTCATGCTCAGCTCCATGAAACTTCTTCATCAAGACCACATGGAACCTTCAATTCTTACCTTAGGTTTTTCTCAATGAAGATAATACTCTTTTATCTAAAGTCTATTTAATATATCCATTTTTGTTGTTCAATTTTTTGCATGAGACCCAACTTTTTTACTGAAGTGGAGTCCTGGAATTTCTGTTAGTTACTTCTCAGAACATAATTTTGCATAAGGTAGTTTTATTCTCAGTTAAAAGCTGGTGTCTTGCTGTTACCTAGTTCCTTCCTAAAGTCAGACTGATCTTGCTTTCTTTGAGACATGGTATACACTCAAGTTAAATGATACAGACTTCATTATTCTGCTTCATCCACTGGTTCCTAAAAGGCCAACTTTGGGAACCATTTGTCTGCTTGTGGTTCACCCAATTTGTCTGTGAACTACAGGTAGGGAAATGTTACCATTTTATCTCAAAAAGCCTCCTTTCAGCTATTTCAGCCATGTGGCTGTAGAGGGTGACAGCCAGCTTCTGCTTTCAAAACTAGAATTCATTGTTGAATGAAGAGCAACTTAAAGCAGTTGTAATGTGACCCTTTTTGAGTAAAGGAACTACTACCAGCACATGATACTAGAACTGGAAGGGAATGTTGCCCTTCTCCAACAGCTGTTGGTGAGAGTGTCATGGTTAATTTGCATGCCCAATTCTTTGCACATTGGATGGAGAAGAGCTTTATCCTGCTTTGCTCTTCTCAGTACCCTGAAAGTGCTCTGGCTTCCTCTGAAAGTGACCGGTGTGCTGTGATAGCCACCCTGTCCCATATCTTCCAGGCAGCACTTAGAGCCCAAGTTTCTATGTTCATTTATAGTCCTCTCCGTTGTCTCTTTTCTAGTCAATATTAATGATCTCTCTGCTTTAAAGAAAAAGAAAATGCCAAGAGTCTCAGACGTTTTATAGAGCTTCCATACTGGCAGGATTGTTAACATGCCCTGTCTTCAATAAAATTACTATTTTATAATTTTAAAAATCAATAATAGTCCTTTAGAGTAAGATAATAGAGTAGCTTTAAAAGGAAAAATGTTAAATGGCAAAATGACATTATTTTCCAAATATTAAAAATTGACTTAAATTAAGTATCTGGAATCTTTAAAAGAAGCATTGTTTGGGTTTTTTTAATAGGTTTTTTTTTCTTTAGATACTGGGGGTAGGAGTTTATTTATTTATTTTTGCTGTGTTGGGTCTTCGTTTCTGTGCGAGGGCTTTCTCTAGTTGCAGCAAGCGGGGGCCACTCTTCATCGCGGTGCGCGGGCCTCTCACTATCGCGGCTCTCGTTGCGGAGCACAGGCTCCAGATGCACAGGCTCAGTAGTTGTGGCTCACGGGCCTAGTTGCTCCGCGGCATATGGGATCCTCCCAGACCAGGGCTCGAACCCGTGTCCCCTGCATTGGCAGGCAGATTCTCAACCACTGTGCCACCAGGGAAGCCCTGTTTGGGTTTTTAATGATGGTTTATTCAATTAGCATTTATCACTCTGCAGGGCTTTGGGGTGGGTTTCAGAGGTCTTCAGGAATATGTAGCCTTTATCTCTACAGACTTTTTAATATATCCTGTGACTATTGCTTGATTCGGTTTTAACTAGGCAGATACTCCTTTTGTTTCATTTTGAGTTAAGGAAAAGGAAAGGTCCCCGTTATGTAATAATTTTGGCTTGACCTGCAACCAAAGGAAGATGTCACATTTGGTGGGTTTTGTTTTAAAATGGGGAGACTTTAAATATAGAAGGCAATCAGTTTACATTTTGATTTTTTTATACTTGTGATTGTGGAGTGCTTATGTAAATGCTTTTACTAGAAATTATCTTTCACTTTTAAGACATTTCATTAGGTTAGTTGTACTTATTAAAAAAAACAAATCTTTGAATTGTGACCAAATCTCACAACACACTTTAGGAGTCATGCTCAGTATCTTACTGAGCTGCCAATAGATTTTATTCTTTTGTTTTTTTGGTAATGTAAGAGCTGTTTGCATTTTGTCTTACCCTTCCTGTGTCTATTTTGCTGCTCAGTTACTTCATGTGAGGATGATGATGTGGAGGGTAAAATGCTACTGACTGTAGTTTTCTTAGGTTTTACTGCATAGACTCCTAAGCTAATGACAAAATGAAATGAAAGCTTGGAGTCATTTCTGTGTCTTCTGTGCTATCTCCATCTTAATTTAGGCCAGAATATTGACTTAGGCCTAGAGATTTCTCTCCAGCGTGAAGACATTTTCTGTTTTACTGGCTGTTTGACAAATCAATGAATGTAAAAACAGCTGGTTTACATCAAACATTTTTTTTAATGTGTCTTTCTTTACAGCCTTGGGACAGTAATACAGTCTGTGAAAACCCCTGTTCCTTGATTCCCACACCTGACAAAGAAGAGAATGAGCTCGTATACCCGAATTCTGCATATAAGCCTCAGAGTTGCACACCATCTAGAGCCTCGCCACTGCCTGTACTGAAGTAAGCTGACTGCTGAGTGCCTTCTGGATCTCTTACTCCCTGTGTGCACTCCTGCCTCACTAGTATGGATGCATACTGACACCTGTCTTTTGCTTGCTTTTGTTTTTTGTAGCTGGGCAAATAGAGAGGAAGTATGGAAAATCATGTTAAACAAGGAAAAGACATACTTGAGGGATAAGCACTTTATGCAGCGGCACCCTCTTCTGCAGCCTAAAATGCGAGCGATTCTTCTAGATTGGTTAATGGAGGTGAGCTGGAGCCTTCCTGTTAACTAGAAGCATTGGCCATTTCTAGATTCTTCTGTGCTGTTATAATCTCTTCGAGTGTTTGATTCCATTGACACGTTCTGTGTCTCTGAACTGTGGTATATATATTACAGTGGCCTAACTTTTTCTTAAAAGAATTTCTGAAGTATCTTTACCCCTTAGATATTTTTAAGTTGGCATCTAATTTTTTTTCTCAAAGTTTAGTAGTTGCAGAGGTTATATTTTCCAATTAATTATAAATATTGATAATTGATCTTTCAATTTGTACACTCAAATTGCTTTTTTTTTTTTTTGTGGTACGCGGGCCTCTCACTGTTGTGGCCTCTCCCGTTGCGGAGCACAGGCTCCAGACGCGCAGGCTCAGCGGCCATGGCTCACGGGCCCAGCCTCTCTGCGACATGTGAGATCTTCCCGGACCGGGGCACAAACCCGTGTCCCTTGCATCGGCAGGCGGACTCTCAACCACTGCGCCACCAGGGAAGCCCCTCAAATTGCTTTTGAGTGTACACAGTGTGGATAACAGCTATTTGATAGCCACTACCAAATGTTTTAAAAATATATGAACAAATTTATCTTTAAGTCAGAAAATTTACATTGTTTCTTTTTAACTCCTTGTGATTCATTTCTCTTTACCCACAGAATTTTATCCTAACAAAATATATTGTTCAAATCTTTTATTGATCACACTATCATACTTCTCTACATAATTGATCAAAATAACAAGTATTACAAATTGTGATGAATAATTGTTAAACATAAAAAGTAATATTGTATAGGCAGTGCACCTCCTTCTGGGAGGAAGTGTGGGTGACTCAGTGGTGGCTCAATAAAGGACACTTCCTGGACACCTCTGTAAGCCTTGGGTGGGTGAGAGGTGGGCTTTCTTCTGTGATGTGGAAGGACATCTCAGGCAGATCTGTTTTATGAAAGCACATATGGAAGTTGAGTGTCTAAGTATTCCCTAAAACTGAACTGTGCCACGTACTCTTTAGGACGTCTGTATTAGCAGGGGTATGTGTACCCCTGTTGTGCTTGTCCTAGAGTCAAATCTCCTGCTGCCATTTAACGTCTGTGTGCTTCAGTCAGGCAAGTCACTTAACTGTGAGTCTTGGTTTTCTCATCTCTAATGTTTTCTAGCAATATTTGCTTGCAGAGTTTGTGTGGATTAGAAATAAGTACAGTTTACGTAGTAGGCAAGAAAAGATAGCTATTTTTATCATTCTTAATTTGCTTTTCTTTATTGGTCCCTGAAAATGTCAACATAGAAAATGTATAGATGTACAAATTCTTTGGCCTTGCTGTTGTCCACAGACCCACCATGGCACATAGCCCTTATGGGCCTTTTGGAACATTTTATAATTCCTTGAAGCATTAGATGTGGTATGCTTTAACCTCTCAGGCTTCAGCTCATAAGATGATGTGACTGAGAGGTTCTATTTTATATAATGCAATTGATGCCATTGATGCAATTGATGCTTTAAAGAAATGATTTTCCCTGCAAGTCAATGAAAAAAGTCATGTAATACTATTGAAAGGATAGAAAAGAATGGTAACCTTTATCAGTGGGACAAGACTAGAGTCCACAGTTCACAGGCAGGCTCATCTGCAGCGATGTTAAGTTTCCCAGCCCCTAGCCCAGCCAAGAAGTCTGTACATAAGAAAGGCAGTGCTTATGCTGTGTGCCCAATGGTGAGCTGGGTAAAGTAGTCTGAAAGTTTGTTCCTTAGAGAACAGAAGCTCTAGTTTTACTTCTTATCCTATTGTAGTTGTGTTATTTTATAAAAACTAACTCTAAATAAGGCTCCACCTGGACTTCAGAAACACTCTTTGGTGATTGATGGAGTTTTCTACTAATGTTCTGTTTGTTGTTTCCTTTGGTACCTTTTCTACTTATTAACCCCATGAAGTGTACTTACATGGGATATACTGTTTAGGAACAGCAGTTTTAAATGCACAATCAGATATTTGATGACAGTAATGAATTGAGGTCTAATATTTCCTTGGTCCTTTTCAACTCCATCATGTACACTATTTCACCATACCTCACAGCAATCCTATGAGGTAGGCAAAACAGGTGTTGTCCTAATTTTATAGTCTGAGATAATCCAAGATAAATGGGTTTGTCTAAAGGGGAGCCTATGCTGGAACCTAGGTCTCCGAGTCTTTTGTTTAATGTTTTTAAAAACACATTTGCCTCTTGTGATTAACAGATTAACAGTGTTTTAGTGTTTAGTGTTGTAGTCTTTAAATAAATGTATGTTCCAGCTTTCAAACTTTCATACTGATAGTGCCCATTGTGAAGAAATATGGTAGTTCTTTCCTCATGTCATATGAAACTTATAAAGGGGGACACCTTTCTTTGAGAAAATTCCATTTTTCCTTGAAATGCTGCTTTTAACAGGCTGTGAATGTACCTTCTTTCGCAGCCTATGAACGTTTGCTCTTATATTATAGATCACAGAACACTTCATCCTTATACCTGAGTTCCAGTTTTTCATTGTGCATGTGCTTAGGGACAAGCAAGGTAACCATCCTTTCAGAGAAGCCAGGTTCTCTCTCTTGATTTGGTTATATTATCCTTCACCAAACTCATGACAAGTTTTTTGTCTTTCTTTTTTTCTCAAGTAACTATTCTAAAACTTACTATTTTTTCAGGTGTGTGAAGTTTATAAACTTCACAGAGAGACATTTTACTTGGCACAGGATTTCTTTGATCGGTATATGGCAACACAACAAAATATTGTAAAAACGCTTTTACAGCTTATTGGGATTTCGTCTTTATTTATTGCTGCCAAACTTGAGGTAAATAATTTTCAAATATTTGTTATGTAGTACATGCTTGAGCTCCACTGAGATTAGGGGAAGAGGTCAACTTTTTGTCTAAATTTTTCTAATTTGAGGCCTTCTAAAGTTCAGCCACACACACAAAAAAGCTAGAAATTAACCAAGAAAAGTATGAGTATATAAAATGCTTAGGTTAATATAATTCCTTTAATCAAAAGAATTGAACTTTGACCTAAGAGGATTAAAATTTTGGTGTGATTAGAAGGGTGAATGGGCACAGCTTTCAAACATGTTGAAAAGGTGAAAATTTCAAAGCTCCCCATTGAGTAAAAGTTTGATTTGATTTATTGATTGATTGATGTGGGTAAGTGTTTCATTTCTTTCACAATTAATGCATTTTGAACCACTGGAGTGGCTCTTGTATTTATCCCATCAATGTACCCTTTCTTTCTTTCTATGTCAGCATATTAAAAAGAATAATTTGGGAGGTACATTATAAGTTAAAACGATCAGAGATGGACTTTTTGCCAGTAGTATCTTCCTTTTATTTCCTTTCAGGAAATCTATCCTCCAAAGTTGCACCAGTTTGCTTATGTTACAGATGGGGCTTGTTCAGGAGATGAAATTCTTACCATGGAGTTAATCATTATGAAGGTAGGTTACAAGTTAGTTTTTCAGTCCTTTTTAAATTTTTTTTTTTTTTTTTTTTTTTTTTTGGGATACGTCATGGACATTTTTTTCCAGCAAATTAGTTGAAAGAAAAGAAATACAGACCAGAATGCCCTGAGCTGCTCCTAGTCTCTTTGCGGTACGCGGGCCTCTCACTGTTGTGGCCTCTCCCGTTGCGGAGCACAGGCTCCAGACGCGCAGGCTCAGCGGCCATGGCTCACGGGCCCAGCCGCTCCGCGGCATGTGGGATCCTCCCGGACTGGGGCACAAACCCGTGTCCCCTGCATCGGCAGGCGGACTCTCAATCACTGCGCCACCAGGGAAGCCCTTTCAGTCCCTTTTAAAAATTCCTACATAATATCTTTTCTATATTCAGCATGAGTGCATCTGGCTAGGTGTTCTCTAGCTGGACACACTGTGGCATGGGAAATGGCTGCATTTTGAACTCCTTTAGAGGACCAAAGGGAGTAGTAATGTCTTTTTCTTTTTTCAACCATTGGTCTCTTTTCTCTCCGTTTTCCCTTAGGCCCTTAAGTGGCATTTAAGTCCCCTGACCATTGTGTCCTGGCTGAATGTATACATGCAGGTCGCATATCTAAATGATTTTTATGAAGTGCTCCTGCCGCAGTATCCTCAGCAAATCTTCATACAGATTGCAGAGGTAAGTGGCTTTATTACCTATGTGGGGTGACCTACCCCACCACTAGATGGAGTAACTTTAGAAGGGATGTGTGTTGGCCGTGTCCCTCAGTGTTCTTTTCTTCTCCATAGCTTTTAGATCTCTGTGTCCTGGATGTCGGCTGCTTAGAATTTTCTTATGGGGTACTTGCTGCTTCTGCCTTGTATCATTTCTCTTCATCTGAATTGATGCAAAAGGTTTCAGGTACGTTGGCTTTCCAGTCCATTCATAGGTGTATTGAACTTATAAACCAGTTGTTGGCCTCATTTGAGCCTAACATGTGTTTTCATTGCAGGGTATCAGTGGTGTGATATAGAGAAGTGTGTCAAGTGGATGGTTCCATTTGCCATGGTTATAAGGGAAACAGGAAGTTCAAAACTTAAGCACTTCAGGGGAGTTCCTGCGGAAGATGCACACAACATCCAGACCCATATAAACAGCTTGGATTTGCTGGTCAGTACCGTTCCTTGTTTCCCAGACGAATTCTTAAAACTGCCCGAGCAGCCTCTTCACTTTCTTTCCCACAGGTTCCAGATATCCCCAAAAGACTCTGATTCTTTTAATTCCGTGGCAAAGAAAAATGGTGATCAGCAGATCCTCTCTCTAAGTATCATGTAGCCCAGAGACTTTTAGATTGTTCTTTGCTATTTTTTTCCTTCACTCATCTCCGTAGAAAAAAGCACAAAGTAAGTGAAGCCCAAAGGATACATTCTTCCATGTTAACATTTCTGGCTTTTATTCTTATCATCAGGACAAAGCCCAAGTAAAGAAAGCCATATTGTCTGAAGAAAATAGGATTTCTCCTCTCCCCACTGGGGTCCTCACCCCCCCACAGAGCAGTAAGAAGCAGAGCAGTGGGCAAGGAACAGCATGACCACACCAGCATCCTCACCAAAGACAGCTGTGCAGAAGTGCCTGCCCCCAGTTCTCTCCCGTCTACTGCAGCAGAGGCGTGCATTAGCTTTTACAGATATTTAAATGGAAGAGCATGTCTCTTCCGCAACAGAAGGTTTCTGTGGATGGCATTGGACAGGGAGAAGTGTTTCTTATTGAATGCTTAGATTTTTTTAATAAGTGGGTCAAGTACACCAGCCACCTCCAGAACACCAATGAGTGCTCCAGATGCTGCTAAGGAGGGTGATACTTGACTTGATTGACTATTCACACAAATAACAAAGGCTTGAAGTTGAGGAGTGCCATGTTGCTGTTGGTCTCCCCCTGGCTGTTCTGGGTCGAGTCGTATTAAGTGGAACAGGTGGTTGTGAGCGTTAACAATACGCAGCCCACAACCAGCTATGCTGGGGGCCTCCCCTTTCCATACTATCAGTTGACAGTGTACAATGCCTTTTATGAACTATTGTTTTGTAAGTGCTGCTATGTTTATCCGTTTTTTAATAAAGATAAAACACTGTCTTTGAGACAGCTGGTTTTATGAGCTATGTCTGATAATTTAAGTTAGGAGTCAACTTTGAATGTGGCTATATCAGGTTCTCTTTTTTAACTTCATGCTTCTCGAAGCTCAAGCCTCTCAAGCAAATATATTAAAAGAAAACTTTTGAAGTGAGCTTCAGGTGCAGCCTCACAGGCCTCCGCAGGGCCCCTGAGCTAGAATGAGGCTCTGACTGGCATCTTCCAACAGTGCCCTGTGAAGTGGTGGCTCCCGGCGGCCTCACTGGCTGGCTGTGGTGATAGTAGTGAAGTCATGTCTGCATCGAGAGGATTCTTAGGTATGATTCCTTCCCGAGCACAGGACAGGGGTCATAAAGTATCTGTAATTAGTGTTATTTAATCCTCTTTTCATCCTTACCCAAAGCTTAACCTAAAGTATTTTTTTTGTTTGGAGAGCTTGTTAACATAGTAGCCTAAAACTACGCTTTGAACAAGAAAATGCAAAGTAAAATTATATGTAGTTCAAGGCTGTGATATTCGTATATAGTCTGTTCCCTGACCATTGATGGAATCACCAAGTGCCTTGCTAACAGAGGAGGTTACTGTCCACTTTAAGGCCCAGTGTGTACAGTTCACATCGTGTTTTGTGGGACATTCCCAAAGTGATGGCCTTGTCAAGTCTTGTGTTTCATTTTCTCACAATGCTTTGGTGTATGTATGGGTTCATTAAGGGAGGGTGAATGAGCAAATAAATATCATTTATTTCAACTTGGTATTTTATTATTTTGCAAAAATCTATCTGAAGTAGAAAGAAAAACAGCCACTTTTAATCTACCATATTTATATGAAATTGAGAGATCCTACTTTTTCACATTGTGATGTTATAGTTCTGGCAGTTCTAATACAGTTTTCTTAATAAATGCATTATAAATCTACATGTAATGGTATTTAGTCAAATGATACTCCTAGCTAATTATTTCTTCATCTCAGAGATGCTCTTGCCTTATAAGTAGTGAATTTTTAATGGTGATCATTTGTGACTTGAAAAATCCTAAAAGTGGTTAATTTATATTTGACATTCTGTGCAAAAATATGGCACTGAAAACATTTCTATTTTCAAAGTTTTATATAAGTTTGAGAGCTTGGTAAATGTGAGGAAACATTGGTTTGAAAGCATGTTTCAGGTAAATGCTTCATGGACCGTTTGGCAAGCTGTTGTACTGCAGAGAGTGTTAGTTACTGAGTATGCTGAGATGAGGCTGCCTTACGAGTAAATTGTCAGAGGGCTGCATTTCTGGAGACTCAGTATTTTTTTAAATGGCACTGTTGCCACAGGCAGCTCTTAATAATCTGTGCTAATAAAGGATAAATCCCAGAAGGGTAAGTGAAATCCGTAGTAGCCAGTATTTTCTGTGGCTCTGTCAGAAACCCTAAATGCCACTAGTAAGTAAAATCAAGTTTCCCCTCTTAAAGGAGCGTCTTCCATTTGCTAGCAGTCAGAATAAACTTTGGCCCCTCACTGGTCAGCTCTATACCCATTTGCCAGATCACATTTGTTCTGCAATTCATCTGAAACCAGCTGAGGCAAGGTGATACCAAACAGATAGCAGGGGTGGAAGCGGCAGCTCTAGTCACCTCTGGTGAACAAATGCTCTGAGACAGAGATGCGTCAGCAGGGAGGACCC